ATAACATCAACCATCTCGTTACTTGGTGCTATGAAATCTACAAACAGAGGAATTAAAGGTTCACTATGATATGTCCACATTTGGGATAACCGACTAAAACCATGTATGCGGACATGGCGTCTCATTGCTTTCGTATCCATGAAGTTACGGTTATCATATTTCTCACACGGACATCTGATTTCACCTTTACTGTTTAGGTGAGACATGGATCGCTTGACAAAAGAGTCGAGTCCTAGCTGAAACCGGGAGATTGATGATGTGGACTAGTAGTCCGACTTTTATCAATAGACATGATTCAACTGAAACATAGTTTAGTGTTTAGGTTTAACTCTACGAGAAACAAAAAACGGATAGAGTATTCATAAAGTAGATGGTTCAAAAATTATCCCCGACACAGGAACAAATAATCGAAAACGGGTAGACTATTGACGAAGGTATGTTTCTAAACACACACACACACCCGATGAGCAAAAGAAAAAATGACAACCTAATCTTTCTTAAACAAATAATCATGTAATACATATTCACATCCTAAATGAGATAAAATAATCAATAAGCAATCCCAAAATTGGGACAACCCGAAACTAATATCTAGGCTCATGATGATTACAAAGAAGACATGCAAACAAACAAAATTTGGAAGATTTTTTTTTTGTAATGTATAGCGTCTTACTTTTGAATATTTTTGTTATTTATGACATTTGATTTTGTTTAATTTTTCTATAATAGCATTGTACTTTATATGTTATATTGTTATATATATATATATATATATATACACACACACACATACTTTTCCTATTATAGCATTCCACTTTACCATATTTTTGTATTTATGACATTTGACTTTGTTTTAAGTTTTCTATAATAACATTTTACTTTAAATATTATATTGCCTTTTTCTATTTGACCATTATACTTTTTCATATATTTTTTATTTATAGTATTTCATTATAGCATTTGACTATTTTTCCATTATAGCATTGTACTTTCCAAATAAACTCTTAAAAGTTAAGTGATGTTTCAATCAATACATATATACATATACATACAAATACACTTAAACATACATCCTAAACATATTGTATATTCATTATAGCATCTTACCTTTATTATTATTATTATTATTATTATTATTATTATTATTATACCGTTGTATTTTCCAAAAAATCCCTTGATACATATATACACACATTACATACATAAATACATACATTATACATACATATACACTTAAACATTCTTCTTACATATATTTCATATTCATTATAACATCCTACTTTCATACATATATACACACATTACATACATTTATGCATTATATTGCATATACTTATATCATACACATTACATACAGAGATAATGCATAAAATATGAAGAACTAGATTAACATATTCCATGAAATCGAATAGAATCTGTCATGGAACGAAATCAGAATGGTGGTGGTGTTGTCGGGGTGCTGTGGTGGCAGAAAATCCGACAAATGTGGTAGCGGTGATGACAACCCAAAATTAGAGGTCAACAAAGCTTAATACACAAAATCAAACATCCAAATCATTGGATTGTCACTTGGATAGTCACAAGAGAGAGAGAGAGGTACCTGCATCCCGACAGAAAATCTGGCAGCCTACTTTTGTCGTCGGTGTTGCAACTTTTGTTCTTGGTGATAGCGGCCTTGTCATCAGTGGTGATAGAGGAGTAAAAGTGATACTCGTCGTAAGGGATTCTCGTCGGTCGTAAGGGATTCTCGTCGGTCGATAATGGAGTAAAAGTGATACAAAATACAGAACGCGATGGAGGAGGGAGGTATATCTGTGCGAACCTTTAGCGGCAATGACTATTAGAGGCTACATAAAGCTTTAGCGGTGACAATCGAGCTTTAGCAGTGACACTGTCTAAAGGGAAAAGATACCGTGATTCTTTTAGATGTCGCCGCCATTGACGTCATCACTAATAGCCGTTCAATTAGGTCCAGATCCAGATCAACGAATAGGGTTAACCAATCTCGTTTGACGCAGATCAATTTTTCTACCATTAGCAGTGACGCTCACTTTTAGCGGCGACAAGTAATGCGAAATTAACCTATCGCCGCTAAAAACTAATCACGTCGCTGCTATTGCATTTATATTGCATTTATTTCTTATAGTGGTTTTAAAGGTTGTCTACCTTTTAAAAGATAACCACGACAAATAAACTTGGCCTAATTAAATAGTAGATAAAGGAGAAAGTGATCGCACCACAACTAAAGTTACTGAAAGCCGAAGAAGGTACGTCAAGGCTGTAATAACAACCCATAACTCATTACAATATGTTTCACTCTCCTACACTTCTTAAAGATGGGGTTACCGTTCTCAATAACTACAAATTTATTACATATGATATTATTTAATTAGGTAAGAAGATTTGTAGCAATAAAAAGTAGAAGGATATTTAATTTATCAGATTAAATAGAATTAAAAATATTTCAATAATAAAAAAAATTTAAAATTGAATTATAAAACTTATACTATTATGTTTACTCGTTGTAGTCGCTGGGTTATTGATTGTTTTTATATATTTTCCATCAAATCATAATGAAAGTTATACGTATTTCGGCTTTGAATCTCTAAAGCTCTCAATATGTACTATTGGTAATCATGTGATACTTCAAGTGATGTAAGTGGTTCTTCTAGGTTATACATACACATGCATTGATATTGTCTTCTAATATCATATTATTTAATACGATAGAAGTGTCCATTAAATCCCTAGATCCAAAACTCATTTTTATTTTATGTAGTGTTTATTGTTTACAAACGAAGTCTTAAAAACATCTCCCAATGATTTCATGATATTAATATTGGGAAATCTTGGATAAACTCAAAATATATTTGGTCAGTTTACCGTTTAATCCAAACTTTTTATTTTTTGATTAGAAAAGTTCCAATTATTTTATATTTTTCTCAAATTAACCAAACAATCATTATTTTTTTTCAACAAAAAATGATAAATTATTGTATAAAATTTAAAGGAAAAATGACACTGTAGCACAACTAAATTTTACGTTTGTCCCGGATCGGTCATCAAATGTTTTTTTTTTTTTTTTTTTTGACAATAAATCATTTAACTTGTAAAATTGATATCAATTGCACCATTTTTGCACAAGAGGTTATTTAATGAAAAAGAAGTATAATAGGGACTCAAATGACACATGGCATCCATGTCAAGAAAGATATCAGTTGTTTCAGTAGTCTTGCTGAAAATGGTGAAATTGACATTAATTTTACAAGTTAAATGATTTATTGCATAAAAAAAAAATACTTTAACGACCAATCCAAGACAAACGCAAAACGTGGTTGTGATAAACGCAAAACATGCATTGATATTGTCTTCTTCTAATATCATATTATTTAATGTAATAGAAGTGTCCATTAAATCCCTTATTTTTGTTAGATGCGATGCTTAGATCCAAAACTCATTTTTACTGTATGTAGTGTAGTGTTTATTGTTTACAATTAGTGAAATCTTAAAAACATCTCTGAATGATTTCAATGATTTCACCGTACTACTATCGGGAAATCTCCGATAAACTCAAAATATATAGGTTAGTTTACGATTTAATCTAGACTTTTATTTTTTGATTAAAAAAGTTCCGATTATTTCATATTTTCCTCAAATTAACGAAACAATCATTATTTTTTTTTGAACAAAAAATGATAAATTATTGTACAAAATTAAAAGGAAAAATGACACTGTAGCACAACCAAATTTTGCGTTTGTCCCGGATTGGTCATCAAAGGTTTTTTTTTTTGCCCAATAAATCATTTAACTTGCAAAATTGATGTCAATTACACCAGTTTTGCACAATAGATCATTTAATGAAAAAAAAAAGTATAATAGTGACTTAAATGACACATGGTATCCATGTCAAGAAAGATATTGACTGCTCCAATAGTCTGGCTGAAAATGATGTAATTGACATCAATTTTACAAGTTAAATAACCTATTGCATAAAAAAACTTTGATAATCAATCCGGAACAAACGTAAAACTTGGTTGTGACAAACGTAAAACGTGGTTGTAACAAATGCAAAACTTGGTTGTGGTATAGTGTCATTTCCCCAGAATTAAATAATCATAACTTTTATGTTTTAAAAAAATTTGTTGGGAATAAGCTGTAAATTGATCTAAAATATTGAAACTCTATCTAAGATTTCCCTATTAATATTTTATAAAAATTTATGGTTATTGAATTTGAGAAAAAAGAATTCACATCTTACATTTTTTATTTACGATTTTCTCTTTCTCTAAAGAAATTTAGCTAACCCTAAAAATGAACACATTAATATTTTATATTCTAAAATTGATAAATAACTTGTAAATCTTGATGGGTATAAATTATATTAACAACCCTTAATTACAAGAAACCTAAATCACACTATAAATTATATTATCAATAACTATAAAATTGTTATATACAAAATAACATAGTAATAAAGTTAATAACGTCAAAAGAAAATCAATAAAGTTAACACGAGAAAACAAATAAAATTCCCATAAATCCCAATTACTTCACATTACCATAATTTACACACATTTAGAATGTGAGTCGGAAAGCATACATCGAGAGCAAGAGCCGGAGTGGGCTAAGCGCGTAGCGGCTGAAGCACTATGTTGCATTTGGAGGAGGTGGACCGCTAGAACGTGAAACTTGGAAACTATTTATCATATGACCTTTTGCAATCTACTTCCAGAATATTAGCAAAAAAAAAAAAAAAAAAAAGTTACCCAGATTTAAGAAAAAACAAGAGTTGGTTGCTACACCGTTTTATTTGCCCTTTGGAAAAAATCGTATTCCCGTAAAGACCATTTAAGCACATGGCATGACAAGCAAAAATACAAGCATCATTGGGTCCAAAAACTATCCTAGATATTTAATTTGCAAAAATATCTAGCAGGGCATTTTTGTATCCTCTTTTTTGTTGTGCACCTGTCATGAATCAACATCTATAAAGGGTAGGAAAAACTCTTGAATTCACATAACAAGCTTTTTCTTCCTTCTTTCTCTATATCAAAGGGTTGATTACAAGCTGAGCTCTTAATTTGCCTAATTCAAACCATGAAGGTTTGGTTCCATAGGACTATATCTATAGAAACTCATAAGCTTAGTATATATTAATTTACATAGTACGTAATTCTACCATGACTCATGCTTTATTGCTTATCCTATTGCAGTTGCTTAAAGTTATGCATGCCAAGTTCGCATGTGATCAATTTGAACATATGGAAGACGAATCATCTTCTTCTGTGTCTCAACTATTTAATGGATTCCAGACGATCACAACTCTTGAAAAAGATGTATTCGTCACCGATCTAGCAACACCCAATTTTTCCACATACGTTGAGAGTACATCGAAAAATGAAACCGCGACAACAGAAGATAAAACGAAGAAGATGACGAGGGCTGTAAAGTATGAAAACGAAGCAATCCGTAATCCAACTATACTTATAAAGGACCGTAGAACTTCACTATGGGAGCTGTTTCAGAAAACTAAAACGGTAGAGAAAAAAAACGAACCTGTAATGAAAAAGATACTGAAAACAAGAATGATTGATCAGCCTTCTTCTAAGGACTATACAGTGGCCCCTGTAGGAACCGCTAATTCAGCTGATGAAAAACTCCACAAGGTACGCCTAATTTTGTAAGTATTCTAGACTTTTTAGTTTCCTAATTAATCTTTAAGTGATACATGCAGATCCTACGTATACTACACAGAGTTCACCCCGAAGCCTTAGCCATCTCACAAAAATCTCAAAACCTGTGGAAATATGTGATGAAAAGCAACTGCACAAATGAAGGGTGTCGAAACGAAAATCAAATGCTATCCGAAGATATCATTATATTCCCTTTTGGGGCTACTTCTGAGAAGAGTGAAAACCACACAAAGAGCAACATGTCCAATCATCTCATATATGGTGGGGATGATACTAACTGGAAAACAGAATGCTGGATCAAATCAGATGCAGAATGTAAGTACACAAAAATAAACCACGATTATAATTCCCCCTCCATATAAACGTGTATGTGACATTTCTTATAAGTCGCTCATTCCAGCTATTTCCTATGTAGATCTGATATTGGAATTGTAGAAGAAGACAAATCAAACAATGCGTATGGATGATAAATTGGTTGGAAGCACATTGAGCAAATCTGCAAATGAGGCCGAATAAATTCATCTATTTGTAAATAGTGTGCCTGTTGAAGTAAAGTAACAATGACAATCACCAAACCACATTCAAACTCATCGTTTTTCCTTTATGTGGAAAAAGATTGTGATTAGAAAGAGAGATTATGAGGTAAACTAAACATGGTTATTTATATAATTGTTGGTGGTGATGACTTTTGGGGGTTTACATAGATAGACACCTCCCGTATTGTGCCATAACGAAGTTTGCTGCGGATTTTTAACCGATAATTTGTGTGATATAATTAATATGTTATTTAGAACTATAAGTTTCACCCACTTGCAATGTCTTACCGAGAATAGCAAGATACTTTGGATCTTTTACTAATAATATTACGGGTAAAATAGAGTACATTGCCCAAATTGGTATCAAAAAAAATACCATGTTGTAATAGGAAAAATGGAAGTGAGATGGTAAATGAAACAGCTACACAAAAATGCATTGCTATTTTTTGCATTTAGCACTAAGCCAATAAGAGATTGTAACCATCTTGGTAACCAATTTATGACATGTGGATCGAAGCTATTTCACAATAATAGTAATAACCATAATTATTATATGATACATATTTGATAGGAATCAATAGAGAAAAAATAAAATAAAATTAGGACATGAAGAGAATGATTTACCAAATTTGAAACTTTTCAAAAGTAGCCCCTCAAAGTTTGCTGCATAAATGTCCTTTGCGGCCAATTGTCAGTCCTTCAAAGTAATTTGCCATTAGCGGGCAGCCCTCAATCTTTGATGAGGGTGGGAGCAATTTTAAGGCCCTTTAATAAGCAGAGTTTGATCACACTGTCCCAAAAAATTATTGTTTGTAATGTAAAGCTTGAAGAATCAACTCTTAAACATTCATATTGGTAAGATCCAACCTCAACTTGCTTAAAATAAAGTAAGCGATATAATTGTTAGATTTGTTTTTCAATATTTAATTAACAAACCTTATATTTGGCTTTTACATGAAAAGGTGATTTTCGGCCATTAAATGTTGACAATATTTTTAAAATCATACTTGGTTTCAGAAGATATATACATGAAGAAAATTCTAGGTTATTATTACTATTTCTTAAACGAATATTTATGGATACATGTTTTCATCTATAATTTTTTTAGAAGTACTCATTATATTACTTATGTCAAGAGTTATAGTAATTCCAATTTAGATAATTGTTTTCAGAATAATGATCTTAAAATTTTAATTCTAAAAATATGAACACTTAGATATGTATTATGTAATGAAATTTGATCTTAAGTAACGTAAGAATAGAGAAAGATGGGATAATCCAGTAAAGTTCCTAAAATCTTTATTTCTTCCTATTACAATGGATTTCGGAGGGAGTAAAGTGAACTTCATAACACCTAGTTCCTAAATTTCTAAAACCTGATAAACTCTAATAAGAGAAATAACATTGCAGTCTAAGGACGTAGAAAAAAAGATCTTCATCTATCTTCACCATGCTTGTTAAACTTCAAACCTGCAACATATTGAAAAAAAATTCATGGTTGTTGAAAACTTGAAATTTAATAAGAAACTATCTCAAAAGAATAGTGTCAATGTAGTGATGATCATGTTGAGATTTAAGAAACCAACAAAAAAAAAACATAACTTTTTCCCTTAAATAAACCAACATCTATATAAATAGTGTTCACTTAGGCATTTAACAAACAATTGGTGATTTATAAGTTACTTAGTGGTTCTGAAGTATAATCAAGAGCAGGCATGAGGTCCCATTGCACATTTTCAACAACAACCAAGAAACCAATTAAATTGGTCCAATAATTTATATAAAAGAACCGAGATTATCACTTTTAACCGATACCCATTGTCATTGTTGGAACCAATAGACTGTTGGGATGCTTGAGGTTGAGGATAAGGCAATCAAAAAGGTTAAAAACAAATCAGATATAATAATAATAAAAAAAAAGAGAACTTACTGCTTCCTTTGTTGATAGAACATTGGCCATATCAACATCATCACTCTAAAAAGATACTCTAATTAGTAACAATTTGACAAAAAAAAAAAGACCCATGTGCTGATGGTAAATGGTGCTGACGTTGATGATAGTGTCCCCATTTCCTTCTCCCTCAACCTTGTGTCGTCAGAGTTAGGAAGGGGTTACTCTGAGATGTTGGTGCAACATTTGGGGTAGGTGTTGTGTGGATGACATTGTTAGGGTTAAAGAGAAGGCAAGAAGGTCATGGGTGGAAATAGGAAGGAGACATTTTTTTTAGAACCGACAAATATTATTAAGGGACCACCGCCTAGCAAGGTACTAGGCGGGCCCAATTGAATTTGGATTACAAATAATTCAGTGGGCAAATACACCAATCAGCCCATCTATAATGACAATCGACTCTCCTGTATCTAAGCCAAGTGAGTACAAGAGATTAACACTATCTAGGATCTGGAAGTGGGAAGTTCGTATGCTCCTAAACACCCAGCTGCATCTTGTTTTCCATAGTAACCACACTACACCATAACAAACACAAATTAGGTTGTTTCTCCTTCTCCGACATCTCCCCCAAGTTTTTACAAAACCGATAAGTTCCCCGATGGTTTGGAATTGTGGGTTCGGAATATCGCACCATTTAAATACCAGATCCCAAACATGATGTTTCAACCCCTTAGCATAATAACTCTTATCAACCATATACCACCAACTTTCCTAATTGCGTTCATGGATTTAACTAAGTAAAGGAGAGTATTCTTAACATTTCATGCAAAAAGATACATACAAGGCACAAATATATAAGGAAGTACATGAAAGGGCAAAAATAACACCCAATAATAAACAAAGGAACGTGGAAGGACAAATAACAGATTTGTTATGAATGAGGTATGCGCGCGCGCAAACGAGACGGTGGTGGTCCTAGACAAAGTAAGCGGCGAAAGAATTCAAATTGAGGTTTCGGCAGACTTTTCATGAGGATGTCCGCTACCTAGAGCTTGGACGGAATGAATTTAGTGTGAAGTCTCCTGGAAGAGACAAGTTCACGAATGAAATGATAATCCAACTCAATATGCTTGACCCTTTTGTGAGAGATAGGATTTTGAGAGAGAAACACCGCACTGCGATTATCACATAGAAGAGTTGGGTGATTAGGGGGTAAAACATGTAATTCTTATAGAAGGTGAGTTATCCAAATGATTTCTGCTGCCATATTGGCCATTGCACGATATTCAGATTCACAACTCGAGTGCGAAACCGTAGGTTGCTTCTTTGCACTCCATGAAACAAGATTGTCGCGAAAGAGTATAGAATATCCATATGTGGAGCTTCGTGTCTCAAGACATCTTGCCCAATCAGCATCAGAATAACCAAGAATCAACACCTGAGAAGGTTTGCGAAATGAGAGACCAAAAGCCAAGGTTCCTTTAATATGCCGAAGAATACGTTTGACTACAAGAAAGTGATCAACCGTTGGCATCTGAAGAAACCAGATGACCTGGTTGACGGCATAAGAGATATCGGGTCTTGTGATAGTCAAATATTGTAATGCTCACACAATTGATTGATAGTGAATTGGATCAGAGTACGGTGCACCAATAGTGGTAAAAGATATGTGCGTTGAAAGTGGCGTAGGGGATGGTTTTGCATCCAACATTTTCGCATGATCCAAAATTTCCCAAGCATATTTGGATTGGTTTAGGAACAGATCATCATTGGTGTAAGTAACTTCAAGCCTAAGAAAGTAGTTGAGAGCACCCAAATCTTTAATTGCAAATTCTTTGTTTAACCTGTCAATAAATGATTTGACAACAGTATCTTGATTTTCGGTGAGAATCAAGTCATCCACATGGACCAATAAATACATGATACATGAATCCATATTAAAGATAAAAAAGGGTGTATCAGCATGACTACATGACAACTCGTTAGATATTAAAAATGAGCTCAATCGATGAAACCATGCACATGGTGCTTGTTTAAGGCCATATAAAGCCTTATTTAATTTACACACATGATTAGGAAACTGGGGATTGGTGAAGCTCAGGGGTTGTTCCATATAAATCGTCTCATGAAGATAGCCATATAAAAATGCATTATTTACATCAAGTTGATGCAAACTCCAGAACGGCCAAGGAGAGTATAATGCGAACAGTAGAGGCCTTAACAATTGGGCTAAATGTATGTGAGTAATCAATACCTAGTGTTTGGTTATAACCTTGAGCGACAAAGCTAGCCTTATGACGTTCAACAGAACCATCAGAATGAAACTTGGTCCAAAACAACCATTTGGACCCAACTATAGGATGATTGGGTGGACGAGGTACAAGGGTCCATGTATTCTTTTTATGTAATGCCTCAAGATCATTATGTATAGCCATCACCCATGTGGGATTTTTTTAGAGCAGTTTTGTATCCTTTGGGATCTGTCGAAGCAAAAAGAGCAACATGTAAGGCATGATGAGTGACATGAGATAAGTTGGTTCGATGTCGAGGTTCGAATATTCTTACTTTTGCATGGGTGACCATATGGTGGGTGGTAGTTGGTGGAGGAGTTAGAGTAGTTGTAGGTGAGTCAGGGATGGATTCTTCAGAATTTGCATCGATTGAGATGGGTTCAGGAACATACTCGTCTGAACTGACATCAGTTGAGATAGGTTCAGAAGATGGAGGTGAGTCAGAGATAGGAGGATTTGGTGGATCATGGTTCGTTGGATTGGGTGATGTGGGGAAGTGTATACAAATGTGGCAAGGATAGAATGATGGAGTGTGTGGAGAAAGTGGAAGTGGATTTGAGCATGGAGCATTGGGGGAGTTTGTTGGATGGAGTGAGTTTTCTTCAAATGTACTTAACTGAAAGGTGGTGATAGGTTTATTTTCTTTGGTGGCACATAATGGAAAAACCTCTTCATCAAACCTAGCATGGCGTGTGAGATAGACACGTGAAGTAGTAGGATCAAGGCAACGATATCCTTTGTAGATGGGGCTATAAACAAAAAAGATGCATGGTATGCTTCGTGGGGCTAGTTTATGTGTCGTATAATCCCGTAGATACAGGAACACACGACAACCAAAAGCCCGAAAAATGTTATAATTGGGTGGTTGCAAGAATAAAGTTTCAAACAGAGACTTGCCATCAAGTTTTTTAGTAGGTAGGCGATTTATAATGTAAATAGTTGAAGAGAAAGAATCTATCTAAAAGGAAGGAGGGAGTTTTGCATTAAATAACATTGCCGACCCAGTTT